CGGGGGGGAGTGAAAGACCCCGTGAGACCCTGAGGCACCAGTCATGGTGTAGGTACCTCAGCTCCCCACATCTGTAAAGGGGGACCCAGAGAGGGGGACCCCAGGATAAGAGTATGGGTCATACATCAGGGCCTGCCAGAGCTTCCCCTGAATGGCCCAGGTGGGGGCCAGGACCAGGAGGGTCAGAAGGGCAAGGAGGCCAACTGAGAGGGACGCCCAAGAGCCAGGGGCCTGGAGTCCCAACTGGCCTGGAGGCGGGCCGGGGCTAGTGTGAGCCGAAGGTTCTAGTGAGGGGACCACACCCAAAGGGGAACCAATGGCAGGACAATATATGGCCTGGTATGACGGCGGCAGAGTCCGCCTGAAGGGAGGAACCCAGGTGGGGTCCTACAGTAGGATTCTGGGCCCCGTCTTGGGGGACTGACACATATGAGAATATCATGATGTCATCAGAGAGGCTTGGGCTGTGGTGTAGGGGAGGAATGGAGCTGCAGATAGTGCCCCCTAGCAGCGGGGCAGAAAATGGGCAGCCTCCTGCCTAATTACATCTATTAATTAATCAATTAAGACCAAGGCATGGCGGGTGAGAAGGTGGGCGGTTAGCCCAAGAACAGGTGGGCAGGCCTCGCGGAGATTGGCCCCGGTAGCTCCCCTGTTACAAAGAGCATGTTTACTTTTTTTTCTATTTTCCATTCTTTACTGCTGTATTTGCAAAAGCAGTAACCTTTAAGGTCGTGAAGCAATATAAGAATAACCATTTTCAGCAAAACTATTAACCATAGGTATCATTAGCATACACAAGAAACATCTGTGCCTAACCACATTAAGGAAGAGACACAGAATTGTAACACCATAGCTAAGATTATTTATAGACTAATGTGATGTCTGAAGGAGCTTAAGTTAAGGTCATGATAAGCATCATGTGGCAGTCTAGACTGGAAACCAAAGAAGAAAATATCTATATTTGAAATAGAACAAGTCTAGGCTGACAACAATGGGCCCCTTTCTGATCTAGAAATGGCTTCAAAATGGCATTCAATGAGTTTTAGGTCAAGCACCCCCTCCACCATTTTGAAACATGGGGATGCTGAATACTCATGATGCAGAGACTGCAGGAGTGTGCTAATTAGCACGAGTCCAGCAGACTCACAGCAGGCTCGATTAATCAAGTCTGCTCTGACACATGCTAATTAGCAGGCATCAGAGCAGAGCTCCGTCACTTGTATAGATGCCCCCGATAGCAAGATCTATCAAAGGAAGTTGCATTATACTAAGAACTTCCCATTAGGTTGTTTGTTAAGACCCACAAAACTATATAAGTGAGATGTTCAAAGGAACCCAAGTGACTCAAGAACACAAGTCCTACTGAGTGCTGTTACTCTCCTGTCTCTAGCCAGTCATATACATGCTTTCTACAGCTGGTCTCCAGAATCACTTTTGCCTTTCCCTTAGTGGTTTCTTTGGCTCCAGGGCTTATTCTAACAGCTGCTTTTACTATCCTTATAAAATGGAAATATTTATCTTGTGCAATGACTTTGTTTAGAGATTTTACATATTCATGAATATAATTACTGGCTTTAATTTATATAATTGCTTCCAATTCCAAGAGGATGAGACCAATTGTAAAATATGACCGTCTTAAAAATGAAATCTGATAAGAACTATTTAATCCAATTTAAAAGGGGGAAAGAAAAAGGATTGGAAAGTAAGGGAATGAGAGCTCTCAGTCTGAAGGGTACAGATTGATGTTTTGAGGCTGCTATAAAAAAGCACAAAGATGCAGCTGTGTATCATCATCACCATTATGTTGATAATAATCTACCTAACATTTAAGAAAGAACTCACTGAGATACTTCATGCCCACAGAAACTTGTCCTTGAGGGACATCGTGTTTTAAATCCTCAGTGATGACACATGATTGCCTAAGTTCATGGTTTGGCTTCCATCCTAGAAAGCAGTTCCAGATGTATCAGTGAGGACTCATCTTTGCTAAGGTAGTATACCAGGGGTTATATTATCAAAGGCTTCAGAGAAATTACTTTAAATTCAAAAAGAAAATTTAAAAGGGGTGGGGAGGAGGTAAAAGAGAGAAACAACAAAAGGAAATGGAGTGTGAGGACTAATGCCAAAACCACTTTATCATCAATAGATGGAGCCTTGAGAGAAGATTGGAGCTTTGCATGTTCCCACTGTTTCAACATGCTGCAGAGGGGCTGGCCGGGGCACAAGAGAGCTTCAGTGTGGGGCTAGCCAGCCAGCAGCCCCTGCACTGAAGCACCCTCATGCCCCAGTCAGACCCTTCAGCATCTACACGTGTGCTGCTGCAGAGTTTTTTTTTATTCTGCAGCAGAATAGTACTTGTTTTTACAAGTACTATCCTGCTGTGGACTAAATTAGTTTACTCCAACCTAATATGGATGGATGTGTAGATGCTGTGATGTTTACTCTGTAGCTAGTCAACTAAGCAGCAAGCATCTTGTGTAGATGTGCCAGTATAGACTTCAATGAACAGTCCAGCTATCTTCTCTTAGAAATTAATGCAAATGACTCTTTCCCCATTTTTGTAAAACAAAATCCTTGGTACATTACTTCCTCAGTTATTAGGACACTCAGGTTACGTCAATGGCAATTTGTTTTGGTCCTAACTTGTAACTCTTCTATTTTTAGCTTTATTTAATACAGAACTTCATCTTTATTCTTAAAGTTGATACAGAAATGTAACTTGAAACTGCTGGCTTAGGCCCAAGTTTTAGCAAAGATTGTGAGTCCTATTGGAAGAAGAGCCTAGGTAGGGAGCTACATCTGATGAATGCCTTTACCCGGCCCTTCATATACATTCTGCACTCCTTCAATTATGAGTCACTCTTGAGTTGAAAACATAGCTAAATTTTCTGACTCTCAATTTAAGGGAATGTCTCCCCCCCAAAAAACCAAAAACAAAACAGTGGTGCATATATAGGGATATAACCTCTGTGGTGCATATCGGAGCTTCTTACTGGTACTTTTTCTTTTTCTTAAAGAAATATTTGGATTTAAAAGTTGTCATATATTTGAAGGAAGGCAATAAGTCAGACAAGCCTATAGACAATTGACCCACTTATCACAATGCAACCTGCAACTCACAATGCAACGAGGCAACTTGCATTCCATCACAAATCCCCTTATCCAGTGACATGGCCAACCTCATATTGTTTACATACTAATGGAATGGACCGGAGGGATGTAGTAGAAAAAGAGGTCTGTGAACAACCTGGAAGATGGGATGGAGTGCACCCTCAGCAAGTTTGCAGATGACACCAAGCTGGGGGGAGCAGTAGATATGCTGGAAGGTAGGGCTAGGATTCAGAGTGCTCTAGACAAATTGGAGGATTGGGCCCAAAAGAAATCTCATGGGGTTCAACAAGGAGAAGTGCAAAGTCCTGCACATAGGATGGAACAATCCCATGAACTAGTACAGGCTGGGGGCTGTCTGGCTAGAGAGTAGGTCTGCAGAAAAGGACCAGGGGGTTACAGGTGACAATAAGCTGAACATCAGCCAGCAGTGTGCCCTGGTTACCAAGAAGGCTAACAGCATACTGGGCTGTATGTGTGTTGCCAGTAGGTCAAGGGAGGTGATTATTCCCCTCTGTTCAGCACTGGTGGGGCCACATCTGGCATACTGTGTCCAGTTTTGGACCCCCCAATACGGAAAGGATGTGGAAAGGATTGGAGAGAGTCCAGCAGAGGGCAACAAAATGGTGAGGGGGCTGGGGCACATGATTTATGAGGAAAGACTGAGGGAACTGGGCTTATTTAGACTAGAGGAGACTGAGAGGGGACTTGACAGCAGCCTTCAACTACCTGAAGAGGGGTTCAAAAGAGGATGGAGCTGAACTGTTCTCAGTGGTGGCAGATGACAGAACAAGGAGCAATGGTCTCAAGTTGCAGTAAGGGAAGTTTAGGTTGGATAGGAAGAATTTGCTCACAAGGAGGGTAGTAAAACACTAGAACAGGTTACTCAAAGTGGTGGAATCTCCATCGTTGGAGGTTTTCAAAGCCCAACTAGACCAAGCTGCGCTGGGTTGATCTACTTGGGGATGGTCCTACTTTGAACAGGGGGTTGGACTAGATGACTTCCTGAGGCCCCTTCCAACCCTCATTTTCCATGATTCTGTGATTCTATGATAAGGAGGGAAAACACACAGATGGCAAAATAGAACACACACACATTTAATTTATGCTTTTTCTTTTAACTTTTTCATCCTGGCTTAACATACTCTGGCCTTCTGTCTGTCCATTGCCAAACTTGTAATTTTTCCCACTCCATGTCTCAGTGCTGAATTCAGTCCTCCCCTCTCCCTTTGTGATCCTCTACCACAACAGCAGCCAATGGCTGGACTACAACAAATGTGTTCTGCAGAGAAAGCCTGAGGAAGCCGGAGTGCTCAGTGTCAGGCTCTCATCAATCCAGCCCACTCCTGCTGGATATAGATGAAAGCTGAAATCTGGACATGGTAAAGCAGGGATACAACTTTATGATTTACAATCTGTGTTGTGTAAAGGGAGCCCACACCTAATTGCCTTGTAATTGGGTGTAATAAGCAAGTAGTACTAACCCTTTAGTTATTTACATTAGCATACTATAGGGAAGAGAGAAGAAGGTGGATCCAATCACAAAGATACAATTTGGAATGTGGAAGACCTTGGGCAAGCTACGTAGGGCCAGATCCTGCTCCACCTATGAATCACTGAAGTGTAAGTAGATGCCTATGTCTGATCCTATTTCACCCTGCTCAAACCCCTGAAAAACCACTAATGCATGTACTTCTGTAATGGGTCATTATCTTAGTTTTAGCCTTAAAGCTACCTCACGGTAAGCAGGAGTTTTTCAGGCACTTGAGCAAGGTGGAATTAGATTACATTTAAGTGCTGAAGTATACTTAAGTGCCTAATAGATGGTCTCTCTCTGTCTCAGTTCCTTGTTTGTAAAATAAGGACAGTTAGGTGGTATAGACAATATGAAACTAAGGCACTTGCATACTATGGAAATGAGGTCTGTATCAATACCTTAAAGAGAGAAAAGAATCCATACCACTGCAAAACCTATGGACTGAGGTATCTGGGAGTCCACTGCATTGATTTCAATATCAGCTTTTATATCATGGTAGAGATGGGCAAATACAGTTTTGCACAAAACGCATCTAACAAGCAAAAATGTCTCTGTAGTGTGAATGTCAGCCAACTAATGACATAGATGGTTGTAGGCTGTAAGAGTCAATTGGACATTTATGTTGCTAGGATCCTGTGACCCCAGCTGACTTCCTGCCCTTGGGGCAGGGGGCTGGACTCGATGATCTTCCAAAGTCCCTTCCAGCCCTAATGTCTATGAACTATGAAATCTATGAAATATGAGGGATGTGAAAAGGTTACACCCCCAGGCCAGGCAAGGAAAAGAAATCCCTGGTGTAGATACAGCTGGCAGGAGGAGGCTTCTGTAGGTTTGGCTGCTATTGTGTAGGAGGGTTGTCACCAAGCTGGTAGGAAAACCCCTCTGCCACCACCTATCATATTTCTAACAGGGGCCTCTACTGAAATAGCTATGCTGACACAGCTATAATGGTGGGGTATCTGTAATGCACACAAGCTTCAGGATCCCGAGGTAAATCCAGTTCCACCTCTGTGGCTTGTGAGACATTTGGGCAGGGAGAGGGGGTGTGAAGGGGAGAACAAAACTCATCTGAGTGGAAGCATCAGGGAGATCCAGCCAACAAAACCATTGCTGTCTGAGCTTTAACTGGATTAGACCCTGCTCAAGGTCTAGTCTCTTGTTTAGAAAACCTCACCAAATCTCTAGTGGCTGCTTGTGGTAGGTGAGTTGGGGAGCCGAAAGCTAATGTCACCCATTCCCTCATTTCCCCCAGCTCCACCCTGGAATACATTTTCCAGACTTTCAGGTCAGGTCCTGAATACTGATTGGTGCACTAGCCTCATCAGATTTCTGGCATGATTTCTCACATTCCCATCCACCCCCAGAGAGTTAAGGAAGCAGGGTGTGCTATTCATACTCTGTCTGGGTGTTCACTGGGGAGCTGAGGTGGGTACAGATATGGATGCAGAGAGCGGTTATTTTGCCAGTAAGAACACTTCTGACCCAGCAGGAAAGTCACTCAGGTATGATGCGCTCCATAGTTTAAATTTTGCAGTATTTTGCACAGCCATAAATTACATGAAAAAGTCATGGAGAAATGGGCAGTTAAGTACTGATAGCTTTAATAATTGGCAGATGAACAGAAGGTAAGAGATGACTATCAGGCCGTGACTATTGCAAAGTACTGTCGCATGCCTATCACTGTAAAGAGCTGAATTCTATAATTTCCATCCATGGGGAAGTATAATTTCCTTTCTTGTTTTTCCTTTAACATGGAGTACATATTT